GGGTCACACAAGGTTGATTTAAGGAGTGGATTTTGGGGTTAAAATTCAGGTCCTTCAAAGGCTACTAGGTCTTCTATATTAAATGTAGGATTCAAGTTAAAGCCTCAAGAGAGGTCCAATACGTTGGCATTACTATTAACCTTTGAGATTATTTTAAATGGTCTAGTGCTTCGAGCATGCAGCTTCTTTAGGGGGCATGGAGAAAAAGCTCCAGGCGGACCCGTACCATCACAGGGTCTCCAACTTTGAATTCTTTGAACATTTTTTTGTTATCAGCAATAATTTTAAAATGGGTGTTACTTTGTTTAATTTCGATGAGTAACTCCTGAAGGTGAAATGCAGATGCAAATGCAAGAGATCGGGGGGTGCATGATGAATGACAAGACTCATGAGCTCACAAACAAAAGTTTTAAGCATAGACAAAATAGGAAGACAACAGACTACAAAACACACACAACATACTAACTCACACGAACACATAGCTAGAAAAGGTGGAGGAGTTACGAGAAGAGGGGGTCTAAAGTGTTCGGTCTAAGGGAACTGGTGTAGGGAGAGAAATGAAGACACTCTTAGCTACTAGGGCTCTTCTATAGGTAGTTTCAGTTAGGGTCGTCAGCAGTCTCCTAGTGGGGGTAGTGTAATCGAACAAATTCATCCAACTAGGATAGAAGTGGTCCTTATCATAGTAGGACGAGGCTATAACGGGCAAAAATGTAGGAATCAGAAATAAAATAAGATGATTGGTCCTGATCACATCTATAAGGGGATAGCTCAAAGATTCGTTAGACGGTATGGGACTCACGCTCTATCGAATATTAAAGTTGGTACAAGGAGCGGTTAGGTAAGTCAAATCGGGAATGACACACTTTGCTAAATATAAATCTAAATGAGCAGCTCTAAACTTAGACTCTAATGAAACAAGAGGAGGCTCATTGCTTAAATCAGGCTCAAAAACTTTCAGACTCAAAGTACTCTCTTCCGAAAGAGACTCAGGTTTGGTTGCAACCCTAAGACCCATGGGTTCCGTTTCACTTAAATCAGGTGATAAATTCGATTGACTTACTTCCAACTCGAGATTATCTACGTCGCCATCAGAATTATCCAAAATTAAATCAGAATTATTCAAAATTAAATCAGAATTATCCGGAGTCATCTCAGTATGTGTTACAACTAAATCAGGATCTTCCAAATTTAAATTCTAAGTGTTCAAAGTCCGATTGGCTTCTTTCAAGATCACATTACTATCATCCAGTCATACTTTGTCCAAAGACTTATCCTCGAGGAGACTAGGATCGGGGTTGGTTAAGGTGTCGACGTTTAAAGGTTCTAGCTTTCCTAGCTCAGGGTTTAAGTCATTCTGGGAGTCTGATTCAATCTCTTTTGTTCCATCCTCAAAGAAGTCCTCGTTACCCTTAATATAATTTTCATCCACGAAATGGATGCACTCAGTTTTAGGTTCAGAGGGCGTTTTCTTGTTAATGCATTTCTCTATCAAAAGTAAACTTGCAGGGCCAAGGACCAGGGAGGCTAAAGGTTGACTGAGGTGGCTAGAAGTTAGTCAAAGTGGGAGTCATATTGGCTCGAACCAACAGAAGACCCATTAAAGGGTCGGTCACCAAGGCTGAGTGAAGACCTACAGGGTGGGACAACAACCCTGTCGTTACTAAAGGATGGGTGGTTTCGACTACCGTGATGTCCATGGTTTGTCCCAGCAAACGAGGTAGGGGGATGCTCTAAATGACGGTCACTAATAGAGGGTCGGTATTTCAAATTAAGTTCTCGTCTCATGTCTTTCCAAGTAAGGTACTCACCGCGAGACTCTTTATAATCTTCCAATTTCATCCAAAATCGAAGAGCCTGACCTTTGAGTTGAGATTTAGCGATGCTAACCTGGTGGGATTCAGGGATATGACATGATTCAAAATAGTCATCTAGTTGTCTAGCCCATTCCCTAAAGTAGTAAGGATCCGATGAACCATCAAAGTTGGGTGGACGGAAAGGTGACTGAAAGTGAGGTTGTTGCTGCTTAGGATCAGGTCTAGGTTGATAAGTCGAGTGGGGCATCCTCTGACTAGCATGATTGACCGATTGGGGCACGTACCTAGAGTGGGGAGAGTGAACATGTTCCTCCTTTGTGGTTTTAGTTAGCGAGCCTACAAGGCTAACTAGGTCGTCTAACCTCTTTTGAAATCCTATCTAGTACATTGGAAAGTGCTAAGATGCTTAAAGAAGAATGGGCGTAAGGGACATCATTTAGACATTAAGTTAGACTCACTTAGACTCACTACAGGGTGCAGAAAAAGTTTGGACAGCAAGCTAAGCTATTGGTTAAAGTCACCTAGTCACTTAGGAAGGTTGCTAAGGCTTGGACAGCACTAAGACACTAAAGTATGATGCTCCTAAGGCTTCTATAAGCTGCTGGAATGCTGTGGACAGCAACTTAACAATGGTCTTAGGTCACCTAAATGTCACTAAACGGTGCAGGAAACTTCTGGACAGCACACTACAATGCTGAAATAATTGCGTTAAGTGTTGGGTTAGGTGTCTAGAGTGTGGACAACACTTAAGTACATGAAAAGATAACCTAAAACCCACTAAATGCGTGCAGGAATTGTAAAGACAACAGTGAAAAACAGTGAATAAGCTTAGATATGCAATGATATGCATGCAAAAATTAAACTATAACACAAGGTTAGACCCTAGGATGTTTTTCTAACATGTCATGCATGCCTACCATGCTCTGATACCATGATGATGTGAAACAAACCCGTTCAGGAGTTACTTTAAGGAAATTAAAGAGAGCAGATTTAACAAAATAATCCCAAAATAAATTTATTGCTTATAACAATGATTGATCATTAGAATTCTTAGTTTTTAATTTGCTTAGGCAAAGAAGAGTGAAGTCGGTTAACCAAACAATTTAAGAAAACACAAAGATCAATTGTGAAACTACTACAATAAACAAGAATCCACGATTTAATAATGAGAACTTTCACCTTTGGAGCCCATACACTCAACTAGACTAGGCTTTTAGCGGAAGAAGAGTCTCCACATTAGAACCGAGGTCACTCAGAGGAAGAAGGAGCCTAAGATCGTCGCTCTTGGATAGGTGGCCGGAGTGGTGGAGGATGACGGTCATCCAAGGATGATCCAACGTCCCTTTGATCTTTGCTCGTCGATCACATCCACTAAGGTGTAATGTATACGGTCGATGTAATCTTCAATGGTGTCGTCGAAATTGAATCCCACGCCAAAGAACGGTGATTGGAGGATGTCAACTTGATCTGATTTGTGGAGGGAAAGTTTTGAGTTAATGAGCTAGGGAAGTTTCCTAATAAGAGGGTATTAATTAAGACCAATTTGAATTCAAATTCAAATTGAAATCTAATTAATTTGGAGACCTCAAATTAAGGAGCTAAATTAGGAAAGTATCAAAGCCTCATGAGAGCTTTGAATTTCAAATTCAAAACTCCAAGAGGGGTAGGCGGCGGGATGGGGCTGTTGGGCTGGCCGGCGGGTGGCTGGCTGCTGGCCAGCAAGAGACTGGCCGGCGGGTGGCTGAGTTGTTGGCCGGCGGGAGGTTGCAGAAAAGGGGCCGGCGGCTTTGGGCTGCTTGGAATAGGTGGCGGCAAGAGCAAAGGGAGGAAGAATTGAAATTTTCTAGGGATTCGAAGAACGAATTCCAATCTTCCACAATTGCTTCCACCCAAACCTTCGTGACGACGACGAGATCAAGAGAAATAAAGAAAAATAAAAGAACAAGAAAAAACTAGAACTCACAAAGAGATCTAGCTTCTCCTACGAACTCACTAAGAGATCGTGGAGGTTTGCACTCACAAAGAGAACATGAAATGTCATTCTTTCATTCATCAAAACTGAAATTACAATGCATGAGGCCTCATATAAATAGGCCAAAATGAAATAACAAGAAATGACACAAATGCCCTTCCGGGCTACATAAACGACTCAATGCCCATAAGGGCAAAAGCAGAAAAAACATGAAAATAAAATAAACTCCTACATAAAATGACAAAATACAACTCATGCTCGTGGCCGTCGATCTCCGGCTTCTCATAAAGGTACATGTGTCGAAAATGCTGACGATGTCCTCATCAACTTGACTTAACAAGCTAAGTCCATTGTTGATGATTTACTGATTATTCTCGAACAACAACAATAATAACATCAAGCCTCTGTAAATTTCCAAGCCAGATAGATTGATGTTGAATAATTTCAATGCTAGTTTTTTGCATGCAAGATCACAGCTTTCTACGACTTCATCAAAGCAAGTCTTTTGCTCACCTGCCAGCACAAAATCCTATAGCGACTCCCATTCTAATCTCAATCAATCCTTTTCCATCTGATGATTATAAACATATGACCTTTGGGACATGTAAAGAACACTTATTGCTTACTTAAAAATTACTTTCTTCTCAAATTTTTGTGGTTGTTGATGTGAGTTCTTCAAGTACAGAGTACTTATTAAATCCCCTACTTCAAGGGGAAGCCAATTTCTTTATACTATCGTGAGGCCTGGATCTTTTATTTAGTAAATTATTTTTGTGCTATTTTTTTGGTGAACATAATTTGTAATTGATTTGTGAGCGTAATTTGATTTTAGTTAAGTTGTTTAGTTTTGGTTGTTGTGTCAGCCTTAATCAAAGCACGCTTTTCTTACAATTTTAATTGTCATAAATTTCAAATTGGACAATTATTAAATTTTACTGTGATGCATTTTTAGTTTTTTTGTTGGTTCATATCAAAAGAAATCACAATTATTTTACTTGGTAGTCCTTCGCTCGTGAATTTTGGTTTTATATGCTTGAATTTAATTCATCACATTATTTAGTTGCATTAAAAAATCACACACCAAAAGAAGTATGCATCAAATAGTTTGGCCATATCATCTAGCAATCAAATTCCATATGAACTTTTTGTCTTTTTTGAGTCAATCAATCAAATGTCATGTGCCGTTTTTAGAAGTCTTCTCTCTGATTCAGTAATGGAAAACTTCAAGAATGTCCCGCACCACCTCTATGGCCTCACAGCTTCACAATTGGACATGTTCATGACTGAAGATAACCCTGTAACACGTCATCAGGAAAGAGTTACGGAGGTAAGCTTTATAATTAGGCCTTCATAATGGAATTTATTGGTAATATCTAAACTTTATGCATTTATCCTGTACAAGACTTTTATGGGAAGAAATTAATAGAACCGGCTGCTATGTTGGCAGGAAAGCATCTCATCGGCTAGGAATTACCTTGATAACGGAGGGATGTGGAGCCTAACAGGAGTAAAGCAAGGCCCATCAAAGTATAGTATGAGTGTAAGCATGTACCGTGGAGGAGCAAGAGGTTATGGTAGACCTAGAACTGCCCCTCCAGACTTGCCTTCTTTGCTGCTAGATGCTCGGATTTGCTATCTGGGAATGCCTGTAAGATAATACCTTTCTCAAAGTGATAAAAGCCTTACACAGATAGTTATTTGCATTTTCTATTTTACTTGATTTTTTTTTTGTTAAACAGATTGTTCCAGCAGTGACTGAGTTGATTGTGGCACAGCTTATGTGGTTAGACTATGATAGCCCCTCCAAACCTATTTACTTGTACATAAACTCATCTGGAACTCAGGTAAGCATTGAAGAATTCATTGAAATAGATTGAGCAGTATAATGCTTGTAGCTCTTTGTTCTTTGAACAAAAAAGGTTTTGATTGAAGTAGGATGAACTTTCTTTTACTGACTTCACCTTTTCAATTTTTTAGAATGAAAAGTTGGAGAATGTTGGATCTGAAACTGAAGCATACGCAATAGCTGATACCATGGCTGTAAGTGTAACTGACTTGTCTTCCTAAATGAATCAACTCCACAGAAAGCGTTGATAATCCTTATGTATGGCCCATCAAAGCTTCCAAATTATTTGGAAAGATATGCTTCCGTGATATTCTAGTTCTTGCTTTTAGGCAAAAAGCATTTTCCTTTTAGGTAAAAAAGCATTTTCCTATGATTGTTTTTACATGCTGGAGTCATTTCTATTAACTTTACAAAAAAAATCCATTTCACGGTGTCAACTTCCAATGGTAATATGGTATTTCAACGGAAGAGAGCAAATATGGTGGTATGTGAATGAGAAATTTAGAATTTTATTTTTTTATTTTATGATTGTTAGTTGGAGAGAGAGTGCTGAAGAGTACTCTGGTTACCCATTTGAAGAATTTATTTTCAATATTTATTTTTCATGTTACTTTCACAAGACAGTTCTTCTAATGTCTAGGGCTCGGGGCATACTTCTGTCTGGCTATCCATTTGGGATATTTATTTTCAACATTATATTTTTTTTCTTTAACAATATATTTGTTATTTTGTCCAACGTTTGGGCATTGTTTGGACTGCTAAATTATGTGTTGAATCTTCAAGACATATATTAATATTCCTTTTCATTGTTTACATACCAATAAAATTATGATTTTGCATTAATCACCGAAAAAAAATGGCCCTTTTTATGTTGGCATCCGAAGGAAAAAGAGGATTAAAAAACCACAGCAAAATAGTTGAGACCAAGGCTAATGATGCTAATTATCTCTTGGGTTAATTATTTATTTTTTGTAGGCCTTTTAACCCGTGGCAAGTTTCACTTAATAAAGAGAAGACTTATGCTCCCAAAGATACCTTTCAAGATCTTTTGCATAAATTAGACTAGATGTCATTTTAATTGATTTGTTTAAATCGCTCAATATAGTTACAATCATAGACAGTAGAAAATGAAGTACATGAGTTCAGTGAAAAAACATTGGCTTGATGACCACCTTAATTGCTCATGATTTGCTCTCAAAGTAGAATATCATATGCATAACCAACATGTAGAACGTTTTTGTCTGATTAATGTATGAACACATATTGTCTCATTGAAGTATTTCTTAAAGAATTTTGTTCTTATCCTGTTTTTTATGTCCCAGGGGCAATATACTCTTTTTTATGAGTGCCCTATCGAACATTTATTATATTTGGGCCTCTAAAAAAATTTAATTTTTAGTTTTAATGCAGTGTTCTTCCTTTCTTCAGCTGTCAGATTCTTGCTCTCTCCTTAGGTGATACCTTAAATTCTTCTCCTATATAAATTTAAGTTCTTTCTCCCTCTTCTTCGATCATTCACTCTCTTCTTCTTGCCTCCAACTATCACTTATCTCATTACCTCTCTAATTCCGACTGCCCACTCTCATCTGACACTCTCTGATCCCTCTTCTAACAACCTCCCAAAGTATCTAATTCTTTTCTTCTCCTTAAAACTTGTCAATCTCTTCTACATATACAATTGCACACTGTCCATGCCCATAATAGTTATATCCATACATCTATTTTCTCTCTCTAATTCTCTTTGAGAAACTCATTTATGATTCTCTTCTAAATTCTCCTCTTTTTTCTCCCTAGTACCCCAATTTCTAAGCCTCATCGTAAGTTCCTCTCTTTTATTTCTCTTTCCCACTCTCTCAAAATTTCCTCACTTAACCGATAATTTTCAACAAAGTTGAGAAATCCTTCTAAATATCAAACATAAAAAATCTTATTAAACTTGAGATAAAAGTTCGTTCCATATGACCAAGTTCCATGTAAAAATTGGAAGACTAGCTACCAAAATTCCTTCATTCAAATTGGCTCCTTTATTGTTGTGTTGCTTGATGGCTTTGAAACTCATACCTTGGATCACCAATAAAAGATTATAGTTTTGCGGCCTCTTGTTGGAGAAATTTTGTCATCCTCAATGAATTCAAATATTTTGTGATTGAGTACGACATAGAAAAATAATATATTATCCCGAAGGACAAAACAATTATTTTATTATGGACTCAATAACAAAACTCATAATTTTAATTTTAACAGAGATTTTTTTCTTATTCAATATTTGATTAAATAGGGTTTATTTTATTTTGGGTTACAAATGCTCCATAGGGGCAAGCCCATATAGTTAATTATATTTCAAGCATTTGTTACTTGAGAATACTTTTGATTAAACTAGTACTTTCTTTTGAAAAATCATCAAAATACTGGCTAATCTTTTCATTTTAAAATTTGTGAAATTCTTGTTCAAAGATTTAGACTTTGGGAATTTCAAGATGATGAAATCATATTTTAAGAATGATAGCCGAAGGAATGAAATGTAAGAGCACTTGATTTTGAGGAAATTCACTGGTGCTCAAACTGATGTGATACAATCCATACGAAGATGAAACATAAAACAAAGCCCTCAAGTGAGGGTAGAAATGAAAAAGTACAAATAACAAATAAAATACATGAAAATAAATAGACACGATCGTAGCTGTTGATCTTCGATGTCCTCATCACAAACTATCTTATGATGGGCGTTATACTTTAAATTAGATTTTTTTTTTGTTCAACTTGACTAGGTTAATTTAAAATGTCGAGGCTTATATCAACAAAATATGTTGGAGGAAATGCCCGGAAGGTGAGGGCTTATGTTGTGATTGAAAGTCAGTAGCAGCCTCAAATCTTTGAACTAAGGTGAGGGCTACTGAGGGATAGTGCATCGAACATAAGTCGAACGGAGTGCACGGAAATGAAAGACCTACACCTCACATGAGGCATAAGTCAGTTCGACCTTTACAACCCAGCCTGAAAAGGACTACCATCTAAACCCACCTAACCTTTTTTTAAAACTATATAGTCCGATCTCAATGCATATAAAGAGTAGGGAAGACTGTTTTGCTTAGAAAATATGACTTACGACTTAGCTTTTAGGTCAAGATGTCTGATCGTGTGGGTATGCAATATGCATATGCCGACTCACAGAAATATAAATTTTTGTTATTTGCTCCTTAAGTGAAGACTTTCTACATGTGACACATTGGCCATGCATGATCATTTTATTTTTTTTATTTGAAAGTGTGACTTATTTGAATAAGCCATACAAATCTTAGTAGAAAAAATGTATGTTGTCATATGGTTGATTTTTTTTTATTTAAATCCTTTAATTGATAGAAATCTTAATTTTATTTTAAGAGCCTACCGCATAAAACATGCCCAAATCATCTTCAAGTAAAAGTAAATGATGAAATCTGTGCATTTATAATATGCACTCCGTAAACAATCATAACATGCTTATATATATAAAATCAATAAAAACAGGAAATTAGATAATGTCCAAATTATTATAACCATTGTTGGCAGCTGTGCCTGCCATTATATAGCCTAGTAATAATTATAGACTCAGCCCATGGAGTCTGTAAGCTTTGCCTTCTAGGTGGGTCTTGGGCTTGACCCATGGTAGGGTCATCCTTTTGATCCACCCCTTCTATAACTGTATCTCACAGGCTAACATACATCCTAAGTCTAACAAATACATTTTTTAAAAATGTAAAAGACTTAAGCCTACAAAATAGAAAAAATGTTTAGGATCGGTTTATATGGAAAACAATCATCACAGAATTTTCCATCACTTAAAGTGTTAAATCTTGTTTATATCCTATTGGCCATGTCTCCTTGGGGGGTTTCAACACTTTCAAACAAACATTATTAGAATATTCATGACTTATTGCACCACCTGTTGGACATAGTCATAAAAATTATGCTCCGTTCAAATTAATGAAATGTATGTGTATGATTTTTCTTGAAGTTTTAAATAATTGTTAGAAACTTATTTTCTTCAATAATGATAAGCATGAATGAACTAATAGATAAAACACAACAATTATTCAAATTTAATTTAAGCTATTTTGTTTTAAACTAGTATGCATGGAAACAGACAAGGAGATACGGAAACGACATGATATGGACACATTACATATCTATTATTTAAAATATAGGACATAGACATGTAGTGGACATGGCTTATAATTTTTATTTTTTAAAATAAAAAATGATGCATGCAAATCAAAATAAATAAGTAGATTAACTTTGTAGAGTTATAATAGTGCTTGTTATTTTTTTTTATAGGACATTGCACAATACACAATACACAAAATACATACAAAATATCAAGTAGTACAACTTAAGCAAATGCATGGATAATGTACGAGTGGATCACACTTCTAACAGTTCTCGCAACTCTCAATTATTAAATAGTTTGGGTTGGTTTTGCATGCTATGTATGACTTGATTTTCCAAGTGTTGATCACCACTTGGATATCATGTATTAATGTACCAAAAACAAATAATTTAAAGCTTGGACTTGTAGAGGTTACCCAGAACTAGAAAGCAGATTTAACATTTGTTGTTGGCAATTTGTAGAAGCCTTGTTGGTGTTGCCTGGACGCATAGTTAATTTCAATAGTATTTAGCTTGAAGAACAAAAAATTATGGAATATGGAAGTGTAAGTGCTTTAGTTAAAATGGACGCCCTCTTGATGGTGATGATATAAGATTGATAAATGATATATGTTGGAGGGGATTTGGGCTTGAGGAAGCTAAGATAAGTGGACATATTAAAAGGTGGTGAGAGCTACCTTGTAGAGAGGGTTGCTGGTTGTGGACTTCAAGCATTGGAAGCGGTCTCAGATTGCTTGTGTGGAGTGAAACCTAGAGGTAGGGATGCGATGTAACTGTTCATGATGCAAGGAGATATGTATAAAGGCTTGTGGAGGTGATGGAGGAGGGTGAGTGTTTCCTTGGAGGTATGAATTGAGAGGAGTAATTTTTTAGGTTTTGAATCAAGAAGAAGTGGGGATTAAAAAGGATAACCTTGGAGAGTTATGAGATCTAATTGATATTAAAATAAAATTAAGTAAAATGCCAATGGTTTTCACTTATGAAGCCTCTAACCAACATTTCGGCCACCAAGCCAATAAACCCTAAGAGAAGAAGAACTTCAATTGAATTTAGCATAAAGCATATATTACATCATTTCAGCTTTTTTATTCTTTCCAATTCATTATAAACATTTTAAATTAAAAAAAATGATAAATTGGTTTGTGGTTAAAAGTGAAAAGATTAGATAGCTGTAAAGTTGTCAATTTCAAATGGATGGAGTGGGTTTTTCACTTGTGGAGACTTGATGTGGAGCCTTGATTCATACCTTAAGATGTTTCTCCATTTGAATTTTAATCTTGCATAGAGTTGGTCGGCAATTTTAAGATTTGGAGGGTTAATTTGACTTTCTTAATTCATGCCTTGAATTGCGCCTTCGTTTACATGAACTTAGGAAGACTGGCAACTTCATTATTTCATAGATAATAAACCATAAACCACTAACCACATTACAAGTAGCTACCAACTAACTCAACTAATCTCAAAGTAATTTTTTCCATGCCATATCTACGAGAATTTCCATAAAAGCCTCCCATTCTTCCTACAGGTGTGTTCAAACATTGAGTTTTTGCATTACCTGGGGATTGCCCTATTACCATCCTGTTCTTAATGCAATTATTAGCAACCACAAATATTGAACAGATCATCATGAGTAAGATCATCGTTACTTGATTGGTTGGAAATACTGCCCACTATCCTTGGACTCATAGCTCTTAAATGATGAGCAAGTTCCACTATTTTCACTCTCCAAAGAAGAGTTTTATTCACTGGAAGTTGGAGACCGTGAGCCCTATTCATCACAGTGTCACATGACCTAAAATTCTGCATGAATGACAACTTAAACTTTTTTTTATCTAATTAATGAAGATGTGCATGCTTTGTTTTACTGATACATGTTCTAAAAAATTGCTTTTTTTTCTTGATTTTGTATGCCTGGGGGCAAACTTTACTCTTTGTTTTCTTGTTGCTGCTCCAGAGGCCATCCACTATATAATGAAATGAAATGTTCTCTCCTCGTTCAAAGAGATCAAGTACTTGAAGATGTGGGGACTAGTTTAGGTAATTTGGAAGTGAGAAGGGGCTCCCAAGAAGATCTATAATGATGTTGAGAGGATGCCGAGACAGGATTATTATTGTTGATAAGTCTAAGGAGAACTTAGAAAGAGCTCCTCATATTGAGAGCTGTGAATTCGAGGACCAAGAACCAAAAAGCCACAGATCCCGAGAAGTCTCCTCAAAGGCAATTGAGAGATGAGCCAACTTTGAACCTTAGGAAGATCATTGACCGTGTAGTAATGATGATCACTTTGCACCGCTAGTAGGAATGCAGTAACACAGGGAATACCTTGTTACTTTCCCATTTAGAATTATGATGTTTGCAATAAATATAGGGCGCAGATGTTTGTGTCATATCGTAGTTAAGTGTAGTCATGTTGTAGCCCATTTTGTGCTCAACTTGCCCTATTCCATAAGAATGCTGATGACCAAGAGTCTTCTTGTTTTGAGTAAGAGTGGTTGTTGTGAATTGAGTCTCTGGTACTTCAGAGAGAGCGTGTAGTCTGGATACCTAGAGAAAGAGGCAATTCAAGGAAAGCATCTTCCTCCCCTGCACCTTTGCCTTTTTTTTCCATAAATGAAACTCCAAGCTTAGTTTCTTTCTCCACTCCAAATCTAGATTACCCTTATCCAATCCGTGCGGCTTCTTTGACGCAGCAGCTCACAGATCACTCCTTCCCCCAGCTTTTCCCTCTCATATTTCAGTCTCCTCTCTCTAAATCCTCAACCTTTTTATAATCTTCGATGTAATGTTTCTCCCTCTCTAGTCTCAGTACCCTTCTCATCTGACCTCTTCCTTTCTCATCTAAGAACATGATAGGAAATACTTGAGTTCGCAAGCAAACCTAACAATAATCGATAAAACAGCGAGAAAAACGAAGAAAATATGGCGGAAGAACAATCAAGAAAGCAAAGCGAAACAAGAACAAATCAAAGATACAAGAGATCCTCAATTTGAGAGGAGGATTGTCTCTCCCAAATCTCTAGACAAGAGAGTCTAGAGCCCAAGCCGCTAAGAAACCCTTTGGGTGGCCAAAACCAAGGGAGGCGGACTGCGTCTGCCTTTTGTAGAAAAACTGAGAGCCGGCTGGGCCGATTCAGGATGAACCGGCCTAACAAAACAATCCTAAATCTCTTGTTGTCGGTCAAGCTTCCCTTCACATTATCCTTCCCTGAAATCCCAAACGCTCTCGTTATGCATCAAACCCACCCACATCCACTCCAATGCATTCTGCAGATCCCCTGGGAGAAACCTTTATCTACAGTTCTCTCATTCTATCTCCTAATTTCTTCCTTTCTCTTCCTAGTTGTCCTATTCGCTCTCAATCTCATCATTTCCTCTTCCAAGCCCTTTTCCAAATACTCTCAAACTCACCAAATGCCCCGAACAAACCCTAGAAGTCCCCCATTATACAGCAATACATCTAGCTACCGTAATTCATGAAAATGGTAAGCCTTAGTTTCAATGAATTTAAACATTTTAATTCTTCTTTGCAGTACTGCAAATCCAAAGTATATACTGTCAACTGTGGCATGGCATATGGCCAGGCGGCAATGCTACTCTCTCTCGGTTCCAAGGGATTTCGAGCTCTGCAACCCAATTCTTCCAGTACGTTCTTTTCTATCTAAAATATAATTATTTCATTTAAATCACTGTGTGGACGAAGCTCTTCTCTTTTGCAGCTAAATTATATCTTCCAAAGGTTAACAAATCTAGTGGAGCAGTCATTGACATGTGGATTAAGGTGGCAAAATTACCTTCAATATTTTATTTTTTGTTGTTGCTTTTGTCTTCTTCCCTCCATTATTTAATGAATTGAACACTTGACATATTCCAGGCAAAAGAGCTGGATGCAAATACAGACTACTACATTGAGCTTTTAGCTAAAGGAATTGGAAAACCAAAAGAAGAGATTGCTAAAGACATTCAGCGCCCAAAATATTTTCAAGCATTAGAAGCCATTGAATATGGAATTGCAGACAAGATCATAGATTCCAGAGATTCTACTTTCGAGAAACGGGTAATGAAATGATTTTTATGAAGAACTTAAAAATCATTGAATTTATTTTGAGATTAGTGCAATATAAACTCTTTTTTATAATATTAATTTTAAAACAAATTCAATAATTTTTTTTGCCGATCTTCATGAGCGTGGGCTCCAAAACTTCCACGTGCCCCTGCCTCTCCGCGCTAATCTATTTTTCTTTTAAGTGTAATGACGGCGGAGAGTTTTAACCAGCTTAGTTTCTGGATGAATTTTCAAAAGGCAGATTGAGTTTTAAATAAGATACTACCTAGAGATTCAACCCTCACTTTGTGGATTTGTTATTCTGTGCGGAGTCCGGAGGGCATCTAAAGACCAATAAAAATGCGTCACGTCACCCCATTGCTTGGTACCGAGTGCTTAACGGGACGGGAGAATCTTCCGGTGTCCGCACAGAATATAATAGCTCCATTTTGTGAGGACTTTTGGATATGAGTTTTGGTTTCAGTCAGTATACTCTAACGCAAATTTCTTCTCAAATAAATATGAATGATGCATATAACCTGACAAGGGGTTCAATTAGCTCTACTTATGAATTTTATTTTATTTTATTTGAGCAGGATTATGACAAGCTCTTGGCCCAATCGAAAGCCATGCGAAGAACAGGTGGAGGTAGTCCACAGGCAGCTCCTTCAGGATTTAGATAGATGTAGGCTATGTTTGTTATATAGTACTCTAGCTGTGTTTTCAAGCATAGTATATACCCACTTCAGTACATATAGTTTGCCTGCATGGTTTCTATGGCTTCACCAGGCCCTAATTTCCAGGCTATTTACCAAAGAATGTACCATACGATGTGAAGATATGCATAAAAAAAATATGGTGGTAGTATATTTTGAAAGCAGTCATGAACCATTATTGTATTCAATGAATTGTTTTATGGGAGATTTACATATCTATCATTTTATATCATGTTATTTATATATCTAACACTTAAACTTTTAATATTTCGTTCCTATTACTTATAGATCAAATATGCGTGCAAAGAATAAAATGTCGAAGTTTATAGGTGGTATGAGTGGTAGGAATCAAATATAAGAGTGACATTTTTAATAATAAAGTTGTTTATAGGTGATAGACATGAAATATTAAAATTTTTTGGTGGTAGATATATAAATATCATGATATAAAGCGGTTTGTATGTAAGATGAAATTTTGCCTTGTTGTTCAGATGGTTAGGATAAGATTAGTGCTTAAGAGTATAGGGGTGGATCCCCTTGAGCTCAGTACGGGATAATTGACCCCTCTAAAAAATATATCTTTTTAATTATATGATTCATTAGGTAATTTGTTATCCTATATCTATTTTTTACAAGGGTTTTTAAGCAATTGTTTTTTCTAAAAGTTTTAAAATAATATAATTTTTAGACAATTATCTCCCACAAATAGTAAAGAAAATTCATAATTTTATTTATTAATTTGAATTTAAAAAAATGGCCTTACAATCAAAATTTGTTCGAGCGGCGGCGTTGCTCCTTGGACCCCTGATAGTTACTTATTAGTTTGCTTCTCTCTAAAAATTAAGGTTGATTTTGCCCCTGAATGAGCAGATTAGTCCCTTAGAAATGCTTCATGTATATAGAAAGAAGACTTTTTTTTTACTCATTTAGATGTTTATATGGCATGCTATGTATGAGTGGAGCTTAACATACAAGATGGTGCTGATGATAAACATCTTTGAAGGATTGTTCAAAATGATTTTATTTAGTTGGTGAAAGGAGGGAGTTTTTATTTATTTATTTATTTATTTGATTGGTGTGTGTTAGAAAATATTTGAGGGGCTGCTCAAATTTTTTTTTCTTTTAATTTTATTTTATCAACTATTGCTAGGTTGTTTGACACCCAATAAAGATTGTTTGGATAAAAAAATTAAATGAGGATTTTAATTAGGGATTGTATATGAAGATGAGGATGCATAGGGAATGAGTGGCTTTACTCTTGGAGAAAGAATGCAAAAAATAGTATATATATGAATAATTTGTAGCTCTAATGGCTGATAAGATTAGAAAGAATTGATTCAGATGTTTTGGTCCTATAAAATATCAGTCTTTTAATGACCAGATTAGAAAAATAGATGTATTAATAAAAGTAGATAAAGACTTAAAAAGACTGATAGTAAAATATTAGAAATGAACTATTTTTATTAAATTTAAATAAGAATTTGATTTTTAACGAGGCATAATGAAGAAAAAAAATTCATATAATTGATCCGAAATGATGGGATAAAAGTTTGATGTTGTTCAATAATAATTAATTAAATTTAAATGAATTATATTGATAAATGATTTTTATTGTTCTTAACTGATTTATTATTATATTACCATTACACTAAGTTTGTGAAAAACCTCCTATCAATTAGCATTTAAGAATTATTTAAATTTTATTTAACCAAATTTAATTTTAAAACAATAGATTAAATTATGCATTAAAGTAAAAAATAAAGCTATTATAATCATATAATAATTCAACAACTTTTTAAAAATAACTTATACATTGTTATCTTTTATCTTATAATAAGACTGAAAACCCATAAAATTAACGAAAGAATAAAAATAATTTTTAAATTAACACATTACAACAACATCAAGCCTTTATCCCACTACGTGGGGTCGGCTACATGAATCCTTTTTCTCCATTGTGTCCTATTAAAAGTCAAATTCTCGTTTAAATCTAATAAAGAAAGGTCATTCCTAATATTTTCTAAATTAACACATTCAATCTTCAAAATCTCAAAAAATATTATAGCAATAAGATTTGTAAATCTTACTAAATAATATATTTTTCATACATAACAATCATGAAAATTAAACAAATTAACTACAGGAACATCCTTTATCCTTCTACAAATTTCTTCCTCATGAATTATTATATGCAAATGAAAGTGGCCAAATAAACCAAAGCCCAGAAGCCATAAAAAACTAGCTTTCATGAATTGAAGATATTGAACAAGCTGGCCAAACACAAAAATAATTAGAAATGTTACTATCCTTTATCAGAAACGCCATTACAGATACATAACCAGCTAACAAGCTTCCCTCTGTAGCGTTCTTGATAACGAATGGTTGATGCTACGAAGCAACTGCGAAGTTATCTAATTTATCAATTCCTTTTTTTTTTTTTTTTTTTTTCACATGGAGTGTTAGAGCCATGTATCTAATTTATCAATTCCTTGGATATCAGTTATTCTCAGTTTCGTTAATTCCTGAAAAAAAGGGAGTTTGTTGTTTCAGACAGTCAAATGAGAGCATATGCACTTAGGCTTCAATTGGGATTGCTTTCTTACTGATTCTTAAAGCAATAAGAAAGCCGTCCCAAATGAAGCTTCGTTTGGGAAGGCTTTCTTACTGCATCTTAAAGCTGCTTTCAAGTGCAAAAATTTAAATTTTTTAACTAAAAAGCCGCTTTAAGAAGCATGAAGAAAGCCGTCCCAGGCTTCATTTGAGATGGCTTTCTTACTGCTCTTAAAGCAGCTTTCTGATACAATTTTAAATTTTATACTAAAAAACTGCTTTAAGAATCATTAAAAAAGTCGTCCCAGAAACCTTACTATAAGAAAGATAGCTTATGAGTTACCTGGCGATGACCCTTAGTTCGGCGGTAGTTTTTTCTTCTTTTCTTCTTGAAGATGATTACCTTCGCATCTAAAGCCTGGAAAGCAAATCTCACAGTTAAAACAGTTTAAGGTCAGAAAATTTAAAGGATTATGAGGCTTCAATCTATTTATTATCATTCATGTCTGTGAAGGTGTCATGCTGAAGCTAAAAATTTTGTTTAATAAATAAATCAGTATGGTTAAAGAGCACAAGTAAACAGTAGAATTTAACTGAATGGACATATGAAGCCAAGGTATAAATTGCTTGTTTTCGAAAAGTTGAATAAATCAAAGGGGATTTTACATCCATACCACAAAATTTTTTGTATTTGAATCTCTATCATCTAAGACTTCGTTTGAGACGGCTTTTTTACTGCTTCTTGAAACAACTTTTTAGTACAAAATTTTAATTTTTTAATTAAAAAGCTGCTTCAAGAAGCAGTAAAAAACCTGTCCCAAACAAAGCCTATGGACGGCTTTCTTATTGCTTCTTAAAATGACTTTTTTAGTACAAAAGAAAACTGCTTTAAGAGGCAGTAAGAAAATCCTCCCAAACGAAGCCCAAGTCTTTATATTTACTAATATAACACTTCAGTGTATATATCACATCCAAATATAGGTAAAAAATATATTTTATTTTAAATAAGTAAATATTAATGATATTTTTATATGATTTAGAGAATTGAGTGTTATATAAATAAATATAAAAATTTAGTGTAATATATGTAAATACCCAAGAATTTTGTGGTATCTATGTCAATCCTACTCAATTAAACTATCCTATGCTATATGTTAAAATATATATATATATATATATATCCTAAGCTTTATGTCACTGGTGTAGAGAGGGAAAAAAAATAAAGTCTTACATGCTCTTCAACAACGGCATGTACAGCAGCTTCAGTTAATATAGGCCTACCAATGATAGTCTCGGTTCTTGAGCCCATCATGAGAACCTTGTTCAGAATCAGCTGCACAAAAAAAAAAAAAAAAAAAAAAAAAAAAAAAAAAATCGATCACTTGATAATATCAAATGTAATTAATAAAACTAAATACAGACCAGAGATACTCTTGAAATGGAATTATATAGCTGCCAGTACATGTTAATGTTAGGCCGGTTCAAGCTGAACCGGCCCTTGCAGGACCGGTTCTATGCTATAGGAGACGGATCCCTTTTGGGGGAAAATTGCCCCCCAAGCCTAGGGGCCCACTGGGCAGTCCAATGCGGAAAGAAGGGGCGGTTAGGAGAGGAAAGAAAAATTTGAATTCATAATTTAAAATTAGGGAAGTCTGTATTAAATAGGAATTGTCTATAGTTAGGGTTATGCTTGATTATTGTGTTCTCTTGGAGTTTCTTCTTGGTGTCCTGGGCTCTAGAATTCATCTAGAGATTTTGGAGAAAACGATCCTCCTTTCGAATTGAGGTTTAATTGTATCTTTGCTTTGTTTTCCTTCCATTAATTTGATTCCTATAATAAAATCTACTATTTTGGTTGCTTTCATTGGAATTGTTGAGTATATTTTGATGTTGTTATCAATCTTGTTAGGGTTTACTTGAAATATTCAAGTATTTCCTATATAAGTTAATTCCATGTTTCATGCAATTGCATGAACATCTATCATTAAAAAATATTGAGATTAATGCATCCCTTATAAGATACACTTCCATCATTATGTCCAAAAGGATGCCCAAAAGAATAAAGCATATTTCAGTAATCATTTTTGATTAAAAAATGCAATGAAGGCAGCTTTGTGAAGATCACAATGTATATATATATATATATATAATCATTTTTACTTAAAAAAACGCAATGAAAGCAGTTTTGAGAAGATCACAATAGTATATATACATACAAATCTACATAAAATACAACCTCATTTCAACATATTACTACCATACAAAATACAAAGGTTCATTATAAAATAAGCTTTTTTAGGTAGTAGTCATTGGTGTAGTCATTGCAGTGTAGAGCAGCTGCCATAATAATGAACAAAAATGAATCCGAAAGAGCCAAACATTCAAACCGGGAAACAAAGTAGTGAAGTACTTGTATCAACCTTGTTGCCTTGATATTTCTTAGCCATGATAGCATACATGTGTTCCAACCAAAAGAAAAATAATACTAACAATTGCAGCCAATGCAGACCTAGTCCTTCCTATGTAATGAAGTTTAAAATAACAATAAAACAGCATAAAGAACAAGTAATAGCAGACTGATACGTGGATCAAATAACTACAATTCATAGTGAGAGCTAAAAAAATTTGAAATACATTTGCACCACTAGAAATAGGAGGCTAGCCAAGTAGCATCTAGGAAAAAACATCACAATTCAAAGGATCAGAGGAGAGTTAGTTAGAGCCATTTACATAAAATGTTGAAGTGTTACAGATGCTTTGAAGAATTTTTGGGAGCAGTAAAGAGAGAACCAGAGTAGAAAGCTATGGTATTGAAACATACACTGCTGTGGTGAAAGAGAAATGTATGAAGCAATAAAAAGTAAATGGAGCAATAGGTGACTTAGACTTTGTTTGGGACGACTTTCTTACTGCTTCTTAAAGCAGCTTTCTAGTACATAAATTTTAATTTTTATACTAAAATGCTGCTTTAAGAAACAATAAAAAAACTGTCCCAAACGAAACCTTAATCACCAGAACAACAAACAGTATAGAATAACCTCTCATCCATTGTCATATTCCTTAGGCTTAACTGATGATGAAATTTTCAAAAGAATCAACAAGAGCACCAGTGGTGTTTAAATAGGCTGTGAGAGGGAAGAAAGAAAATATTACTCATCTGGTTTAGTTTCACTGTTATGCTTTAATAGAACTTCGTTGACTTATATAAAGAAAGTGACATAGCTATTACATTTGAGTTTAGCGAAATCTGCCTAAAGCTAGCCCAATAGAAATAAACAACACTAATGCATTTCTAAAAAAAAGAAAAAAACAATTCTGAGTACCTGAAGCACAAGACCGGAAACATAACATGCTCTTTACCTGTTTCCTAACCTCATCTTCCTCTACATTCCTCCTAAATCTTCACCTCAACTCTCCAATCCCAAATACTTCAACTGAATTCACATTAAAGTGGTCAGTATATAACATACTAAAACAAACAGACAGCATTCTTCTGTAAATATCAAATTTTATGAACAAAAAAGAAGTAAGGCAGTACATAAGAAATTCTACTGTTAGTGCATTTCAGAATTCAGGGGCCATTGATGGATCTTCTCACATACAATCCGAAACAACAGGACAGAAACATACCTTACGATTCATCATTACAAAACAAGGTTAAACCAAAATAACGGATATTTAAATAAAACTTCAAGCCAAAATCACAACCTTGTCATTAACCTCGCAGTACTTCAGTCTTTCGGTAAAGATGGAGTCACCATTACTAACTTTGAACTGGTGCGAACCAATCTGTAACCAAAATAAAAAGATTAAACTCGAAAGAAACGAAATCTGACAAGGAGAGAGGAAAAAAAAAAAAACGATGTTTACCTGAACAACAGCAAAGATCGGCTCGTACGGCTTGAAGGGGTTTTCGGATGAGATGAGTGGCCCAATTACCGAGTACCCGATCGAAGCCGCCTCCTTCACCTTTTCAGCCTCCGACTTACCACTCCTAGCCACAAGCTTCGGACCCATCTCGCTTCCATCCTCTTCATCACAGCTATCCTCTACTTCGCTTTCATCACTTCCATCTTCCTCTTCGTCATCTTCACTTCCAGAGTAACCAGTAGTCCGAGATGAGAAGCACCGAAGGGAGTCAATGGACGCCAATGCAGCGATGTTGTTCGAAGGTGGGGATTGAGCAAAAGGAACAAGTTTTGATCGGAGAGTGAGAGTTCCAAACATTTGAAAGTAAGATATAGGGTGATTTAAGGATCGGAGATGGCGAGCTGCAGCTCCAAGATATATAGGTTTTATATTTAAATAGTTCGCCTATCTTTTTAAAATGACCCCATGAATATTATCCCATTTGGCTCCATCATTTTTTAATATTAAAATTTTTTTGTTATCTTATTTTAATTTTTTCAAATAGGATAATTTCAATTTCTTACTCTTAAGAAATTTTAAAAACTTGACTTTATAAATACCCCTTAGGTCGAGGGGATAGGCATAATTATCTTATGTATGCTTCAATTCTTTCTTGCAAAAGATGAAAAAAATTGTCAAATAGGAGTTTAAAAATAATTGAAGGTAATAAAAGTTTGGTTCTCTTACATAGGTTCTAATTCTCTTCGCTAAAGACATGAAAAATTATCTAGTAAGAGTTAAAAATCATTGGAGGCGATTGATGTGCAACTCTCGTATGCAAGTTCCAGTTCTTCTCTATTAAAGGTGAGAAAAAAAATTGCATGACAAAAGTTGAAAGAGGCGTTGACAGAAGGCTTGAATTTGGATTTGTTCAAGGACATGTAATTTGTACTTTAATATCAATGATACAAGCACCAACAATGGCCTTAATTCTCCATGAACCATTTGAGTTGTGATGCATGAGGAAAAACTCTCTCGAAAACTATAATAAACATCATGGGAGGAGAGACCACCGTAGATCTTACATTAGGTATCCACGTTGGCCTATTCAAGCATCGAAGTTCGCCTAGATGCCATTGGAATCATTTGAGATGAGATATATGCAGTTAAGGCATATATTGCATCATTACTCCAAACATCATTAAGGAAGAGACTATTAGTTAGAAGTTGATGTGGGAGTTTTGGCGGTAGAAAACTTCATAATCTCTTATAATGTTTGTAATGTGTGCCATAATATTATCCATATAACATGGTTATGTATATAGCCTTGACATACAAATTCTTATTTGTATAACATGTGAATGTATGCTTCTTCATATAATATATATGCTTAAATGATGTTTACAATCAAGTGGTTGCAATTAATAATGATAACTTATGATATCTCAATTTTTTTATAATAGTGATTCAACATTTTAAGAATTTGCTCCCCAAAGGAGACTAAACCTTTCTGAATGCCTACATCTCTTTTCTTCGATATATAAGCATGATTGATTTCTCTATCATGATAATGACAATAATTATCAGTAAAGTAAATTTAATCAAGCTATTTATATGTGCTTAAGAGGGTCATGAAAAATTCTTTTAAAAATCACATCTTTCTTAAGTTATTATTATAAGGTGGCACTCCAATCTTAATTTTCTATAGAATAGTGATCAAATGTTTTGAAAATGTGTTCGCCATAGTAGACTAGCCTTTCTAAATGTTTGCTTCTCTTTTCTTTTATGTATGAGCATGATTGACATTCTATCATGATAGCGACAAGCTTTATCAATAAAAATATTTTTAACTAAGCTATTTATCTATGCTGAAGAGGGGCACGAAGAATTCTTTTAAAAACTATAACTTCCTTAGGTTGTTATTAATAGGTGTGACTCCAAGTCTCAAATTTTTATATAATAGTGATCTAATATTTTAAGAACTTGTTCCATTGAGGAGACTAAGTCTTTATGAATGCATGTTTCTCTTCTCTTCTATGTATATGCATGATTGGTGTTCTATCATGATAATGGCAGGCTTTATCAATGAAGTAATTCTAACGAAACAATTTATTTGTGCTAAAGAGGGACATTGAGAAATATTTTAGAAATTACAACTTTCTTAGGCTATTATTAAAATGTGTCACTCTAAATCTTAGCATATAACAAAATATATTAAGATAAATCCAACAAGGACATTTGACCTATTCGAGATTATTTGTTACAATATTACTTAATAATGTTAAACTACTTGGAAGAGATTGAAAGAAATCCACTAATAATATTTGACCTATTCAAGATTGTTTATCATAGCATTGCTTAATGATTTTAATATGTGTGGAAAAGATTAAGAGAAATCCACCAAGATTATTTGCTCTATCTAAGTTTGTTTGCCAAAATATTACTTAATAATATTAACATATGTAGAAGAGTTCAAGAAAAATCCATTAATGATATTTGACCAATCCAATATTATTTTTTCAAGCAATGCTCGATATCATTAACCTTTGTGAAAGAGGTCAAACTGAATCCCTTACACCTTAATTATGAGGAAGTAAATATTGCGTGTCCCAAATCGAATGAAAGATTGGCTTGTCTTTAGATTGTTATTGCCCTTTTCAAGGTCATGATTGTGACCTTGTCTAATGAGATTGTGTGTAGAGTTTAAAATTCACTAGTCTTTTAAAAAAAATTCTCATGTTTATGAGAATCTTTAAGAAAGATGATTGATAGTAAGATTTCCTTAGATGAATATAAAAAAAAGATAGAAATTAGGATTTGCTTGGCTATAACCTTGCCTGAGATTTTAATGTAAATATCCCTTCAAGATTGCATTCAAGATTGTCCCCCACTCCTAACCTACTTTACATAAAATTGATATAGAAATAGATGATGGAATGGAGGAGTATTCTAATTACAACCATGTATAAAATGTTGCCCTAATTAGTCTTGGCTTATTCATTTCAAAGCTGATGGAATAACCTTTCAAGGTGCCAAAATTGTTACGAGTCAGAACATTCATGGTGCCCAAAATGTTGAGAAATTACCTTATTAAAACTATGCCCAATATGTTGAAGTTAACGACCTTTCAAGGTTGTAACAAAAAATACTTTCCAGCTAAGAGTCATTTCCCATAGATAATGTCAAAATTGTTATGAGTTTGAACATTCACTCTGATAAAGTTAGGAGTTTAAAGTCTTAGCATTTTAAAGAGACCTAACACATATATAGATAAATTAGTTTTAATAGAAACCCATGTTTTATATGAAAAAAAAAAAAAAACATGGGACTTGGCTGAATCGTAATGATTTAGCTAGCATTTTTAATTATTATAAATAATGCACTTTCTCGTGATTGATACCAAGGGTAGCCTTGGTGGATAATATAATAGAGATAGATTGTACATTATGAACTTTATGATGAAAGCTAGAAGAGCTCTAAGAAATACAACTCATATGTAATAGATTGTTTATCTGATCTTTATCCTTTGATCAGAAAGATCATAAACCATGAATTCTATCAAAAAAAAACTTGATTTTAATTTTGAGAGTTATAGCCGATGTCGAAGGAATATGTCATCCTAATAGGTAATGATATGCGTTGACATTATTACAGACATTAGGTGATGAAGTCAGTCGACATCATTGTAGGAAGTTGATTGTTACAGGATTTTAGGTTGGAGGATAGTAGTTGAAGGGGACGATGGTGGGAATAATATAGTTGGATGAAGGTAGCTAAAGGACTGTACATAGGTGAAGGTGGTAAGGGAACTGTAGCTGGGCGATAATATTTGAGAGATCATAAGAGGGCGATGGTGATCATAAGAGTACTATAGTTAGGCAACGATGGTTGCAAGAAGTAGTTAGGCGATGGAGGTTATATATCATAGTTCAGACACTAAAGTTTGAGGATCTTAGTAAGAGTGAGGGTGATCAGTGGACTATAATGTAATACCTACATAAATAATGCATTATTTTACCTGCTCTGATCCACTTTGTAAAGAGGTAACTTACTAAATTTCTATAATTGAACTCCTTTGCATGTGTATGGAAATGTTTTGTATGTATGTAAATGTCTAAATCTATTTTGAAGCAGATCATAAGGGTCTGTATGCATGATTTGGAAATCTTTTTTTTTTTTTTTTTTTGATAGGGTATCGTGACATCGTGATTGACATTGTTGTAGCTTTAAGTTGTGTAGCTTTTGGCCAAATTAATTCGGGTGTTGCAGCGTTGGGTGCGGAGATGTGGCACAATGCCTCCCTATGGGGAGCACTACGACGTACAAGATTGGGCGCCGCGGCGTCATGCTCGTTCTTTTTAAATATCTATTTTTAGTATTTTAAAAACCCATTTGCTCATTTTAAGGCATTTGGTTAGAGAGAGATGAGGATTCCAGTTGGGTTTGGGAGACTTCAGCCCATTTTTTATTCTCGATTCATTTTTTAAAATTGTTTGTATCAAGGTAGGTTATATTTCACCTATCTTAATATTAAAAAATATAAAAATTATGGGATTTTCTGATCAAAATTATAATTTGGTTTTAAAAAATACAGTTATCTCGGAATTTGTAAATTTCAACCACGTAACTTTCGATATATTGTTAGCATGTTATTCTAGCTATTTTGAGAATTTATTTGAGATTTTTTATCATGTGATTTTGAAAACTAGTAATTTTTATCAATTCAAAATTTCATTTTGATGCCTAAAAAAATATATTTTAGTTTAGTAAAGCTTCAGAATTTTGTTATGCACAATCTCTAATAATTTGATTATTTTATGAAAATATGAATATCTTCTTAGTAGAGTTTTTTGTTGCCTACTATTAAAGCATTTTAACGAGTTTTGAATTTAGCTTAATTATACTTTACTTACCATTATGCATTGAAGTATGTATATATTGATTGAAATGTGAAATTATGTTGGCGGAGTAGGAAGTCTGTTAATGGATAAAAGAAATTCTATTAATTATTGCGTTAGAAATTCTGAAGCATAAGGGTTATTCTGATATTCCCTAAAAAGGGATTCTGTTGGTGGAGAGTAGGGATTCTATTGGTGGTGAGAAGGGATTCTGTTGTTTATTTATATATAATAACAATTGAGGTTTGAGAGCCATTTTAATAATTATTATAAAATATTTGTTTATAATTCAATCAGTCTTAGTACATTTTTAGTAGTAATTTAAATGCTTATTAAAATTTTAGCATTAATATTTATTTTAGTTTCAAGTTTTCATATAATATTTCAGTTTATTATCACAGTATTTTTATTTTTTTTGTTGAAATTATTGATTCATGTTTTAGGCTATGTAACCTACTGAGCTGTGTCAGCTCACTCATATTTTTCTTTTCTTTTTAGGCTAGGAAAATGATAAGGACTAAGCTGAGTAATTT